GCACAAGCAACACCCCGGCACTGTCACCCAGTCATCTGCTTGGTTCTAAGTTGCAGAGGAAATGTCCAGGCATGCACTCCCTCCCCGTGAGAAGCAGCTTTCAGAAATGATGTGCCACTAATTGTGGGGAGTAGGCATATGCAAAGAGACTTCCTCCATGTCTTTGCACCATGCAGACAGCTTAGCGATCACGAGGAAGTAGGGGCAGGGACACGTGCACATGGGCCCATCTCCACAGAGCTACTCAATCAGACCATTGGTCTGTCGAGGCCAGTTTGGTCTACTCAAGACGGGCAGTGGCTCTCCAGGGTCTCAGGCAGAGGCTTTTCACATCACCTACTACCAGTGCTCCCGCTAAGCTGTGGAGTCTTGTGAGCAAAAACTCTACTTTGTGAGCTACTGGCATTAAAGTTGTGAGCAAGCGATCTGGCTGCTGCATAAATTAGTTTGCTCGGGAGCCCTCCTTCCTGAGCTAAGACAAAAATGTGTGTGCCGAAGGCTAAAAACTGTGAGCTGGCTCACACTAACTCAGCTTAGAGGGAACACTGCATTAGACATGTTATTTACACAATGAGGAGGACAAGATCTGAGTCACACCCAACCCTCCCACCTTAACCTCTTTGTTATCAGCATTTCTCTTAGCAGTGTCAAATGAGAGAGATAAAAACACTGAAACATCAAAGCCGAAGGCTAAAAAGCTGCGAGCTAGCTCACACTAACTCAGCTTAGAGGGAACACTGCCAGTTTGGTGTAGTGGTTAAGTGCGTGGACTCTAATCTGGGAGAACCGGGTTTGATTCCCCACTCCTCCACTCGCACCTGGCTGGATGACCTTGGGCAAGCCGTAGTTCTGATAAGAGCTGTCCTTGAAAAAGAGCAGTTTCTGTCACATCTCTCTCAGCCCCACCTACCTCACAGGCAATGTTCCCTCTAAGCTGTGGAGTCTTGTGAGCAGAAATTCTACTTTGTGAGCTACTAGCATTAAAGCTGTGAGCAAGCATTGTGGCTCCTGCATAAATTAGTCTGCTTTGGAGCCATCCTTCCTGAGCTAAGACAAAAATCTGTGAGCTGGAGGCTGAAAAACTGTGAGCTAGCTCGGACTAAGCTTAGAGGGAACACTGCTCACAGGGTGTCTGTTGGGGGGAGGGGAAGGGAAAGGAGTTTGTAAGCCGCTCTGAGACACCTTTGGGTAGTGAAGGGCAGGGTATAAATCCAATCTCCTCCTCCTCCTCCCCCTCCTCCCCCCACTTCTTTCTGGAGATTCTGAGGTTCCAACCTGGGAACTTCCGCATGCAGCATAGATGTTTGGGTTTCCCTTAGAATTGTGGTGGGGTGCGCATAAGGGGAGATTTGGGAAGCGGCTGTCGTGTGTGTCCCCCTCCCATGCTGAGGCCAGTTGGTCCGTGTCTTTTGTGCAAGCGCATCTTTCTTTTTATCTCCTTTTCCAGGCGCCCAGCTTCGGATCCAATTAGATCACTATTATTAGCACCTTCAGTTGGTCACATCTAAATCTGAGCTGGGCAGGTCGAGTCAAGTAGGCCTCTCTTTTCTTTCCCCGCCAGCCTGTCAGCTTTGCCGCTCCCTCCGTCCGCCAACAGCTTGGCGGCAGCGGCGGCAGCTGCTCTTTTCAGTCAGCCAGTGGCAGGACGCAGGTCCGTCATCCCTCGTGGGAGTGACTCTCGTTGAACTTGACCAGGTGGCATCTGAAGGAAATAGACCCTACTGACTGCTTGCCCCAAAATAACAGCTTCTCTGTCCGTCCTCCTGGTTTGCTTAGCGCACTGCTATTAATTTCTTTTTAGCGAGGCTTGTCGTCACTCCCTTCTTTTGACTGTACTTTTCCTGACCTCTGGTTGCTCTCTTTTAATGACCCCACCGCTTTAACCACAATTGTGATTGAACCTCCAGAGGGCTTTCAGTCCCTTAGAAGGGGAGTACACGGTCTCCCTCCTGCTGCTGCTGCTGCTGCTGTTTGTGTTAGCTCTTTTCGTCGTAAGCCGGTTTGCCTGACAGTGACTGGAGTCTCTGCTAAAGGGGGAAGGGGGGGATCTTTGCAGTGCTGCGTAAGCGCCTTGAAGAGCTCACCAGCACTGGAAACAGAACACTCTTATCAAAATAGCTCCTGTGTCATACGAGTACAGTAACTTCTGGAGGACTGTCCAATTTCACATGCCCCAGAGAAGCCAGCTTTCTATGTTTGTTTCTTTTTGGAGCGGGTACTCTTCAGATTCTCTTTTCTGTCTGTCCCCCGTACAATATAGAAAAATAATGTATTGCCCGACTCAGCTTGGACGTTCCAGCCCCAAAGTTCTACCCCCACCCCTGTCTTAATTAGGTTGTTTAATTAATTTATTTATTTATACCTTGCCTTTCTCCCCAGAGTGGCTTATACATAAAAAAATGAAATTTTAAAATGACATTACAGGACTGCTAGTAAATACAATCAAATAAGAACTTAACATAAGAAAACAAGAGAAGCCAATGTTGGATCAGGCCAATGGCCCATCCAGTCCAATATTGTCACACAGTGGCCAAAAATACCAGGATGTCCACCAGTGGGGCCTGGATACTAGAAGCCCTCCCACTGTTCCCCCCTCCCACACCAAGAATACAGAGCATCACTTGCCCCAGACTGAGAGTTCCTATCTATACCTTGTGGCTAATAGCCACTGATGGACTTCTGCTCCATATGTTTATCTAATTCCCCCTTGAAGCTGTCTATGCTTGTAGCCGCCACCACCTCCTGTGGCAATGAATTCCACATGTTAATCACTCTTTGGGTGAAGAAGTACTTCCTTTTATCTGTTCTAACCCGACTGCTCAGCAATTTCACGGAGTGCCCACAAGTTCTTGTATTGTGAGAAAGGGAGAAAAGGACTTCTTTCTCTACCTGCTCTATCCCATGCATAATCTTATAAACCTCGATCATGTCACCCCTCAGTCGTCATTTCTCCATTGTGGTCCTAAATAAAATTGTCCTCAGTGGCCTCCTAGAAGTCCAAAATTGAGGGGGATGTTGTTCAATAATCATGGGGCTGCCACTGAAAAGGCCCTCGGTTCTTGTGCCCACCAAACAAGCTTCTTTGGTTGATGGGACAGACACTGCCTGAGATCCTTTTAACAATGAATGCAGCAATTGGTCACAGTGGGTTGGATCCTTCGAGCAAGCAAAGGAGCACTAATGAAAGATTCCGAAAGGGTATTTTTGTCTCCTTCCCTCTCTTCACCGTGGCCTCATCTGGCTGGTAGTCCACTAAGGTCTGCTACCCTAGAAATATACTTTCCCAAGGTCAGAAAGGACCGCTGAAAAGGGAATGTGGGAAAGATCAGCACATTCCACAAACAGATCGTTGGATCCAACCCAGTTTCCCTGCCGCTGAGCTAATAACTGCTCTACAAAGTGGTCACCTCTGTAGGCAATAGTATTGAAATCTTGAAGGGTTTTGTAGTTGTGTTGGAGGACGGTGGTAAACTTAAGATCTGTAATGAAGAGATGAATTTGATGAAAGCCAGAACATGGGTAGGCCTGGAAATAAATTTCTAATTACGAGTTGCCAGCATCAGTGTTTTAAGAGCCAATGTGAAATTCTTTGGCACTAGCAACAGTATGAAAGTTTCAGATTCCTGGAAATCTCACATTAGTTTTCTGGAATACAAGGCAATAGTATTTCTCTAGTCCTGAATATGAGTGTTCTAGAATTTTTAAAGCTTTTTTTTTGGGGGGGGGGACGGCAAGAGGGCCAATTGTAGACCACCCTGCTTTCTGAAGCTTGCTCCAGGTTTTCTTAACATCACATATTACCCATAATGTTTATTTCTCCAGTCTTGGAAACTAAATATGACTGACATTTATCTCTGGTATTTCAGGTTTTGTTTTCAGCTGCTCTTTGAGATTCATTTTCTAATAAATTGTATCTAAAATGGCACTTGTTCTGGAGTTTTCATAACCCCATTAATTCTTTCCTAGCTTTAGTGTGAGCAGTGGCTTTCAGTAACTGCATTTCAGAAAGTTATTACTTAGTTGCTTTTCTTAAATCCTGTCTTTTGTCCAGAGGCTCCAGGTTGTCTATATAGTTCTCCCATCCACCATTTTATCCTCACAGCAGCACCGTAAGGTAGGGTGAGCGGAGACAATACAAATGTCTCCTGTTGAACAGAGTGGGAAACATTTTCCTCAAGTCTGAGTATTCCTTAGCACTGGAACTGTTGAATACGTCACCTTTTAAAAATGGCGTTGATCCGTCCATTTGTCAGATTTTTTTGAAAAGAAAGATTGCCCTCTTCCCTAAAGCTAAAGGTAGCCTTGAGCAAATTACAGACTCATCTCTTTTGCAAAATTGTAGAAGGAGATTTAAATTAAAAAAATTCTTTCATTTCTACCCCACTTTTTGCCCCAATGGGGTTTTGAAGTGGTTAGCGACATTCTCCATTTTATCCTCACAACAACGCTGTGAGGTAGGCTAGGCCGAGAGTGTGCGACTGGGCCGAAGGTCACCTAGTGAGCTTTCATGGCAGAGTGGAGATTCGAACCTGTCTCCCCCAAATCCCAGTCTGTTGCACTAACTGCTGCACCGCTGCACTGCAACCCAAAGCAACACAGGATTGTATCCACTGTTCCCTCTAAGCTGAGTTAGTGTGAGCTAGCTCACAGTTTTTTAGCCTCCGGCTCACACATGTTTGTCTTCGCTCAGGAAGGATGGCTCCAGAGCAAACTAATTTATGCAGCAGCCAAATTGCTCGCTCACAACTGCCAGTAGCTCACAGAGTAGAATTTTTGCTCACAAAAATCCACAGCTTAGAGGGAACATTGATTGTATCCAGCTAACTTTTTCACTTACTCTCATCCAGTTCTCCGTAGTTCAGCTCCCATCCCACGTGGCTTTTGTCCATGCAGATGCCAGACTTAAAATTCAAGGCTGTTGTCTGGACAACCAGGTATCTGAATTTTTTCTCATCACCTCTCAGTTCTCAGTCTTCTGTGCTTTTTCTACCTCCTTGCAGATCTCGAATCCAACGGCGATTTAAACAACGACGATTACGAATACGAGGATGAAGCCAAACTTGTCATATTCCCCGATCACTATGAGATCCCTTTGCCCAATATAGAAGAGTTACCTGCACTGGTGAGTGATCGTGGGTGCCAGTCAGATAATGGAGGGTGTGGGCTGTGCTGCAAAGAAACCAATGGTGTCGCTTAGGTTTAGCACTGGAGGTCATGTTTTAGATGCCACTAGAGTCCACTGTTTTGATTTCTGTGGGGGAAATTATCCTTGTATACCACATGCTGCTATCTCAATGACTGAATCACACTGGCTGCTTTCAGGTGACTAAAAAAGACTATGGATAAACCTGGATTTCCTTGTAGTTTAGAATCCCAGATCGATTTCATAAAATGATCTTTTCACACTGCTGAAGGATTCCTTTTCTGCATTCATGGTCCACATGACCACATCCGATCTGACAATGGTGGTGGGAAGTGCCATCAAGTTGCATCTTATGGCAGCCCCATAGGACTTTCAAGGCAGGAGATGTTCAGAGGTGGATTGCCATCGCCTGCCTCTGTGCAGCAACCTTGTACTTGTGTGGTGGTCTCCCATTAAGTACTAACCATGGCTGACCCTGCTTAGCTTCTGAGAACTGCACAAACGATAGTAAGAACACTGTGTGAACTGGCTATTCGTCTTGATTTTTGAGCCAGTTAGTGAGAATGATTCCTTTAAATTCTTTAGTCAGCTGTGAAACACTTTCCAGCTAAATAAACTGTCTGAGAGCTCTGTTTTGTGTAACTGTTTACAGACACTGCTCAAATTCTGGAGTAATATATTAGAGTGAACAAGAACAATATCCAAGAAATAAACAATATACAGAAACAATGGCCATAAATATTCAACAATTATCGAGCAAGAAGCCTGTCCAAATTTTAAGTCGGTAAAGGAACTCTTAGGATCCTCTCCCCCTGAGTGAGGAAGTAATTGGAGAACTGGAAGCTTTAAGACATTTCATTGCCTGTGTCTTTGAATACCTCAATAAAAACTTTACCAGTTCAGGTGTGGATGCCTGGTGCTGCAGCTGCATTTAAAAGAAGGGAGGCTGAATCTTCAGAAATGAGGTCTGAAAAAAAGAGACAGGAGGACAACATGGAAGACACTGGAATGCAACAGTTATGGCCATGGTATCCTCCTGGACTCACTGTAGCAACAGCACAAACAAATCATGACAATCCCAGAATAGATGGCCATGTAGAACAAACTGTGGCTCATAGGCGAGAAACAAACCACAGTTTGTTAAAATGCCGAGTACAGATCAAGACAGATCACAGTTAGTTCTAAGCCAGAAAAGCTCTAGTCTTGGTGAGGAGGGACGATGCAACCAAGGGCATCCTGAGAAAAAACTGCTAATTTGTGATGTGGGACGGGAGAATTCAGCGGGATTTACAACCGTGGGCTTCTTGTGAGGATAAATAAAACATTGTGCACTATTTTTAACACTACCAGCCCCATCCCTTTCATATGTACTTGCCTGTAAGCCCCACCGTACTCTTGAGGACTTCCTTCCAAACACACCGGCTTAAAATCTGGCTCAAGGCTCTAGGAGCTCTTCCTTGGCAGTCTTCATCTATCTCCATGGAAGGCACCACATTTAGCCATGCAGAATGGAAGTCCCATCAGCCTTGTGAAGAAACTAGCACAGGTACAAACAGACATCATCTTTCTCAGCAAATGCAGAC